ACTGAGCGCTCACTCAACAGTTGTGCTTGCTGAACGTGGCCATACTGAGCGCTCACTCAACAGTTGTGTCCGCTGAACGTGGCGACTGTGGTATCATGTGAACGCGCACGATACAGCAATCGCTATAGGAACCCTGATGGAGCCGGAGGGAGCCAATCGCGTCCGAGCGCAATTGGCGCGGCCCGCGCGGCCGCCACCGAATCCCCTACGTGCGTACAATGCGCGCAAGTAGGTTCCACTAGAGAAGTCGCCAGGCAAATTGGTTAAACTCTAGAGCCTAGGCTGGCCGCGTCTCTCGCGATAAACGCCGACGCGCGAGGCATTTTCATGTTTCGACAAAACGATGAGCCGCCGAGCGATGCGTATTGCGGGAGATGCGTTTCCGCGCGGAAGCGCGTGCCGCGGTCGCTGGGGTCGCTGGGTCGCTCGCTTGAGCACGAAGCTTGTTAACATGGCAGACGTTCGGTGTCTCTAGTGTTGTCGGAGTGTTCGTGCGACTGCGAGGGTACAAAACAGTGGGTTCTGTTACCGAAGGGCACTACGATTGTTGTTGATGTACACGGAACGATTCTGATCGATGCACGTCTCGATCTGATCTCGACGTCCACGTGCGAGTTTTACGCGCGCGTCATAGAAGGCCAAGGAAGCAGCAGCACCAGCAGCAGCAGCAGCAGCAGCAGCTTGATATTACCGAGACTCTTCGCCGAGGGTCTACCGACGTCTCTCGCCAATCAACCTCGACGACGTCTCCGTGCGCGCGCGCGCGTCCGAGAGCGAGAAAGAGACAGACAGAGAGAGAGAGAGGGAGCGGAAAGGAGCGAGTGTTTTTCTTTTTTTTAAACATTCGTCCACTTTGTTTATCAGCTCGCGGGAACACGATGGAATTGGCCGCGTCGTGATACGCGGCCCGGCGGAGCTCTCTTCTCGAGGTAGTGTCGCGGAAGCCCCGCGCTTTTCTCTCACGTTACTCGGGGCGACGTCTCGACGCACCGCGTATAACCTTTTGCCCCCTTTGTGCTTTTGCCAATCCGTCTCTCCGAACGACCCTCTCGCTGTTCCTTCGACTCGCGGCTACGTTCGCGCACGGACCTCGGCCCGCTCTCGCAGCTCTCTCTCACGAGAGAGAGAGGGATGAACCAAGGCGCGAGTATACCAAGCATCCTTACCGTGTACGTATGCTTCTTCTCGTCTCCCCGGCCGTACGGACCGCGCGACCACACTCGACCCGACTAGGCGCGCGTCGAAACGAGCCGCGCGCGTTAAATGCGTGACATAAAAGATGTACAATTGTCGTGGCAGGGATTACAATCGTGGACATCTGTCTACGGCGAAACTGACATTTATCAGACACGCTCAATGGACAGATTGACGCGTTCGCGGTCCAATTTCCATGATCGTCGCGTAGGCAAAGTAGGCATATTTATTCGCGTGTGCGTCGGACGTAAGAAACTTGTGTTGCGATGTGCAAACCGGCACGCGACAAACGCACTTCGAACGCTGCGAAAGAATTGGCCCAGTCTCGTCGAAAGTAATCCGTTTTTCGCTTGTTGCCAGGTGGCTTGACGTCTACGCGCCGCATTTTGATGTAACCGTCGCGAGGACGCCGCGATAAGGAGGTGAGTGACAATGCGCGGCCGTTTGGATCGCGAAATGAAATGGAGAACTGATGGGGATTGTTCTCGTTCCAGGTCCCGGGCTAACAAACAGGCTAACGCGCCTTTGTCATGGATCATTGGCGATTCCATGAAGTTTACGAGCTGCCAAGTGTTGTACTAGAGAGAGAAAAGTGCGTGTGCTAATTGTACCTGCGGGACAAGAGTGTTCGGTGCGCCTGCTCGCGGGCAAAGACATTTTTTACAATAGTAGTGCCACCGGGCTATGGCAAACCTGAACTTTGAACAGCCGCCACGCAGTATTGCGAACGCAAGTCTCACTTCACGCGCAGCTGGCGGCGGGGGAGGTCTGAACACCGTGGCCCTCGCGGGTCATGTCACGCCTACCTCGGGCATGTTCTCAGGCTCGTCTGCGAGCAGTTCGAGTACAGCCAACTCAGCGATAGTCGCCAACGTTTATCCCGGAGCGTCGGGGTCTGCCGGCGGACAGAATAGTCACCAGCAACAACAGCAACTCTCTCCTATGAGCAGTAGAGGACTGTTTGGGCAGAGAGCTTTTACCGATAGACGTACGATGCCTGCTCTTGGGTTAGTCTCTCCTTCTGTCTTTCTCTGTCTCTCTATCTACCTCTCTTTCTCTCTTCCCCCCCCCCTCCCTCCCCCTCTTTCTCTGCAATCATTTCCATCTGCGTTGCAGAGCTTCGAATCCGATGGGTGGTATGGGCAGTTTCGGAATACCTCCAAGTCGCAATTACGGATCTCAAGGTGCGGTTAACAATTTCCACTCTGTTTTTGGGAGTGGAGGCGGTGGAGATACGAGTACTCCACCCTTGTTAGATCTCTCGGAGTTTCCCTCCCTCACAAATAGAGGTCAAGGTGATTCTATGCCGCAACCTAGTCCCATGCCGGGAAAACAGCCTTATGGTTAGTGCAAAGTTGATACAAAAGCAGACTTTTTTTTCCTTCAAATTTATCAAAACGATCATTCGTCAGCCTAGATACTTTGAGTACAGGTCTCTTGGTTTTTTTTTCTCTCGCCTAGCAAGCTCGCTACATAATTACGTTTAAAGCATAGACCGTAGCTGGTTCGAGTATAAAAGTCTCATATGTATACTACAGCAGGCTATATTTCCGAGGATCGAGAATTTGCTGACTTAATTGTCACTTGCGTGTGTTACAGTTGGAATGGTAAAGCAACCAACATCCGAGTCGAGCGAATTTACCATGAGCTCGGAGGACTTTCCTGCATTACCGGGGACACAGAACCGAGAAGGTCCGTCACCTGGTGGTAGCATGTCTGGCGATAAGAATATTCCCGTAGGGCTTGGTCCAGAAATCGGGCAGGACGTCTTACAGGCCAACAGAGCACCTGGGTCTGAGAAATCTCAATCCTCTAAAAGAGGCATCCAAACGTCGCCCGATGGTAAAATCAGACATTTGCTTTGCCGAGCGTATCATCCTGATTAGGTTTAATCCCCGCAATAATTATCATTACGTACAGGCAAGGTGACAAACATACCGGCGAGCATGGTGAAGGATCAATTCGGCATGGTCGGACTATTGACGTTTATCAGAGCGGCGGAGACAGATCCAAACTTGGTGTCACTGGCGTTAGGTCAAGATCTTACTGCATTAGGATTGAATTTGAATTCACCAGAAAATCTTTATCAGAATTTCGGTGGCCCCTGGGCGGAAACCCCATGTCGACCGCAGGATATAGATTTTCACGTACCACCGGAGTATCTTATAAATGCCGCGATCAGGTACCGATTATCTAATTTGTCTTAATTTCCAGCTGTTCGCACTGTCGCAAGTATTTGTATTGTGCGACACTTGAGCTGCTTTCAAACTTGAAATCTTACTGTCGGACACAAATCTGGCAGATATTAAAATTACACGAAAAAGTGTAAAACAAAGTAATATTAATGGTATAGCATTTGGCGTTGCGATAGAATTGTTATTGTACGCGCCTTGCAAGTACAAGTACACAAGTAGTTACAGTGCCACTTGTAGTATATTAGAACATATAATTCTTTTGTCTCAACAAAATTACATTTTCTACGTTTACAGGGATAAGCTAGCGCCAGTTAAACTAAATCGATATAAAGATGATCTACTGTTTTATATGTTTTATACAAATGTTGGGGATGTATTGCAATTAGCTGCTGCGGCGGAACTGTATGTAAAAGCAACGTTAATAATTGTTGTACTTACAAGTTAGTGGAATTTCATACGACACTTGAACTTTTGCATTTGACGTGAAGGTACAGCAGGGAGTGGCGATATCACATGGAGGAAAAGGTTTGGATAACGCAGGCACCAGGTTTGGGGATTGTAGAAAAGACGTCGACCTATGAACGTGGTACTTATTATTACTTTGATGCGCAGAACTGGAGAAAGGTAGCTAAGGAATTCCATTTGGATTATGCAAAACTAGAAAGTAGACCTCATCTTCCTTCGAACTTTCACCAAACTCAGCCTTGACTACAGGTGTGTACTCAACTTTATTTTCTCTTTTTCTAGTCTATATTCACACACACATACACACGTTGAAACATAACGCACACTCGAGTCCAAAGTATCGATAAAAATTGGAGTAGAGAAGAAGTTGATCGTTTCACAACACTCGCACCTTTCAATGACTTCTCTGCCGTTGTTCTGCAAGAAACGGCAATAGTGGTAACCTCTGAATTATAATAGAGATTATATATTATCTGTTCTAGACTTGTCTGCAGACTATTGTGCTGTCTTTAAGCTGGAAACGAATCAGCTATTGTATAAATGAACAAATTTAATAATCTTTAATAAAAACATAAAATTTGAAGAGTAATGAAGGAAATTTTTAATCGCTAAATTAGATACCTACGCCTCGCTATCGGTTATCATCAACATCGTCATCATCTTACCGTAATAACGTTCTTCTGTTTGTAGTTGGGATATTTACTGTATCTTCACGATCCTTTCACGCAGTTATATAGTTATATTCCTATTGTAACGCAATTCTTAATTTTTCCGCTTGCATCGCGCGATTAATTACATCTTCTGTAGCACTTATGACAAAATGTTCAATGTAATTCCGACTGTTGCTCTCGGAGTCTTCCAAGAAATACCTGCCGAGAAAAGCAATAGTTTCGCGATACTGTTAACGTCCTTGATTTGATTATTAGTTTTAGGCGATTTTCAAATGTATACCTATAGTTGACCATTATGCCGCAACTATTTGCCACTCCACGTGGCGAAGGGTCAGCCAGCCAGTTTATTCGCCACATCACAGCTCCGTTGCGTAAATGAAAATTAGCTAAAACATATGCCAAACAATGTACAAATTGTGAGGAAGAAATTTATCTTGCGATGCTAATCTTGCTTGGAAAAATGTATGTACATACATAACTCGTGCATTCGCAATTGATTATGAAGCAACACGGAACGTACCGACCGTGTTTAAAGCGTAGCCACGTCTCTTTTCTTTATACAAGTACCACGCGCACGCTCGAAGTAGTGGGTCTTTCAAAAATTCTGCCAGTTGCTTATCTCCTGTCCATAACGAAGTGCCCAGGATCTTTTTCAAGGCCGATATCACGTTTTCCGTTTGCAAAATATCTCTCGCCACTTTATATTCTCGCGTGGTAAATATAAATGCCACGTCTATGGAACAAATATATGTGTACACATTAATTTTTTATTTAAAAAAATATTTTTTTCAATAACTGACTAGTAGTTACCTTGTTTCAATTTGTCAAGTAGCCAAGTCTTAAAATTTGGTATCGGTGATAAGCTGGACAGTTGTTGTATAGCTGGAAATTCAGTCGTGATCTCGCCGGCCACTTTCTTTATCAAATAATTGCCGAGCTCAATTCCCTGCACAAGAAAAGAAACATATGTATATATTTTTTGTATACAGCGCACAGTTGTAGTATATGTAATTTATATTAACTTGGAATTTAAAAGAGTCACAATTAAAATTTCTGTTACCTAAAAATCAACTACCTGCAATCCTTTCTGCGTGGACACTATAGAATAAAATATTGCTGCTTTTATCTTCGATTTATCTTCCTCTAGAAATGTTATATGTTTCTTTGCGCTTCCCAGAATTCTAGTTTCAGCTTCTTCAATACCCTTTACGCTATCTGTAACAATGCGAAGACACATTGAAAAGTGACAAACTTAATAATTTTATTCGCCAGTAATAAAATAACCAAAACTTCAATTTTCCATCGACACAACTGCCGTATTTAAGTAAATAAGGTACATAATTTAATATTAATAAAATAATGCCAGTTGTGTCGAGAAAAATTGAAGTTTTGGATATTGAAAAATGTTCCCTTCCCTTTCTTTCCTACAAAGCAATTCTAAATGCAATTCTAAACGTTGAAAAACTTTTCGTTGCCTGATACAACCTGGTATAACGTCACACAGTGCCGTATGCAAGACGACAATAGGCTCTCTTGGCATGGACGGGTGCATAAATACGTAGCATCTTCTGTATGGTCCGACTCTGCGTTTCAAGTCCAACCAATTCCTTATAGGATGTATAGCTTCGTAATCGGATACCTTTGCGAGTGAGAGCGTCAATCGGTCAGAAGTGTTGCGGTAGAAATAAATGCAATTGCCGAGACAAAATATTGAGATCGTATAATTACCTTTTGCAGTATGTCGCACGAACTTTCCCAGGTAATTCGTTCCACGTGTAAGAAACCGACGGAAAACCAGAGCAAAAATAAATCCAGCAACGTATGATTTAGTTGCTGTACTACTATACTTTCGTCGGTATCTTTGATTTCCGCCATTAGTTCCTGACAATGGTAAGATAAACGATGAAAATGAGGATTCAATCTAATCTCTTACAATAAGATTTGGATCGCATTGTAAGTCAATTGTCTCTGTGTCGTTCGCGAGCGTCCGCGGCAGGGATCTCTTCATTTCGCTTACCAGAACATCAGTTCTCAGATCGACCAAGAACTTGACGCCATGCTGCAATCTTCCTATAATAACGAATAACCAATGATAAGCGGGCGTAAGCACATCCTTCAAGGTTCTCTCGTGGACAAACATTTGTCGTTCATTTTCAGGCTACAATAAAACTGGGATATAGACCGGTGTTCATAGTCAGATCTTACATTCAAGACCGTCCGAAGATCATCTTTAGATAGAAATCAAATGTTCCGTGCGGCATCTTCGGATAAATTCAAGACGGTCTTGAACACAAGGTCCGACTGTGAACACCGGCCGTAGACACGGGCGCTTCTGTACGAGATATTTAAGGGAAGACGAGACCTTCTTCGCAAAGCAATAGCAAAGAGGGGAAAACAATGTTGCGATATCGCTGCGTCTCCAACGCACAGTTCGATCAGAGTAGCGTAGTGTACGATTCGCAGAGAACAGTGTACCTCGGTGCAGACCAATCTCTTGGCCACTTGGCATATATCGTCGTGTTGTACGGCGTACCGCGAGGCTAGCGCGCGTAAAATCCGCCGGCGATTATCCTGGTTGCTCTCGGTGTACCTGACACACAGTGCGCGTGCCTTGTTCTGCAAATACAATCTACGTGTGAGAGAGAAAGAGAGAAAAAGGAGGCAGGCCGCGCTTATCTTATCAGTCACAAGGGAATAAAAGCTGTGCAGCTCCGACCTCTATGATCCAATTGCTGATCTTGGTGTCCTTGAATCGGAAAATTTCCCGCAGCTCCTCGTCCACGTGCGACCCGCCGGGCGACGTTCCGTGTTCGCGCCTAGCGTCGTGCCGCGGCGCGCTCGCGGATTTCAGCCCCGCCGCGGCTCCGCAACGGCGTACAATCGGCAGGAGCTCGAAGGCGAGCCTCTTCCCCAACATCGCGGTCAATTGCACCGAGAGACGCGAATCGGAGCCGGATACTGGGATACTCGATTCTCAACAGGTGTCATATACTCGTTGCCGGCGCGCATCAGCTGACGCATGACTCCACGCATTTTTACCGTGCGTCATCTCGCTCCGTCGGTAAAAACGTGCTCACGCTTATCGATCCCTCGGCGATAATTGCCGGAGAGTGTCCACGAGTCCAAGGATAGATGTCGCTGAGGAGAG